GGAATCTTCCGCGGAAAAGGTCTTGCCACCATTACCACAGAAAAACGATTACCCCTTACCAGGAAGGTCTTTCAGGGCGTGACAAGCTTTTTGAAAACGGTCTTTTGCATGATATAGGGGCAGATGCGGGACCACAGAACCATGTTTAATTTTTCCTGAACGGCCCTCTGAATACCAGAAAAGGGGGTCCCTAGTTCGATTCCTCGTGGTGACAAATTTTTGCATTTCGAGTTGACGTTCCAAAATTCGCGCAAAATGGAGTTAGCATGAATAATTAGTACCATATTCATGATTAGGACCGTCAGTAACCCTTACAAATAGACTTTGATTGAAAAACTGGTGAAAAAGGTGTGACACCACAGTGGGGCTGCTTGATGTCACACCTCTCACACCAATTTTTAAGTCAAAGTCTTTTTGTAGGAGTTACTGACGGCCCTAATCATGAATATGGTACTAATTATTCATGCTAACTCCATTTTGCGCGAATTTTGGAACGTCAACTCGAAATGCAAAAATTTGTCACCAAGAGGAATCGAACTAGGGACCCCTTTTTCTGGTATTCAGAGGGCCGTTCAGGAAAAATTAAACATGGTTCTGTGGTCCCCGCATCTGCCCCTATATCATGCAAAAGACCGTTTTCAAAAAGCTCGTCACGCCCTGAAAGACCTTCCTGGTTAGGCCCTAGCCTCATGAGCATAGCAAAAAGAACGGAACATAAGCGTTAGTTTCGATAATACTAATCCTACACACAAGACAAAATGATCACTCTTTCCGTGGAAGATTCCTTCAAGGTATCGTTTTCTGTTGTGTAATGGAGGGCGGAGCTTTTTCCGTGGAGAGTTTTTCCTCTAAGGATTGCTAGAGAACTTCCATCATTGGCTGCACCCTGTGCGACGAAAAGTTTGCTGATTTGAATGATGGACAAACTGACTCTTTTTTGCCTCCCCTGTATGGTAGACGCGACTTTTGTCACATATGGAAGCTGGTTCATCTACAAGAGCTATTTTCAGAATAGGCTCGTTGGCCAACTACTTCCTCGGCGTCACGAATCTCATCGCTTATTCAATTATATTTGCATATCTTTACTGGCGCAAAACTCTCTCCTTCAGCCGGAACGACGAATTGAGGATGACCACACAAGTTGTTTCCTTGTTTCTCATATATTTGTTCCCGCTTTCAAACGTACCCTCCGTTTCAAAACCAGAAGCGCGTCGAGTGCAGACCACACACCACAAGTGACGACGGCCTCCAAGTAAATCTGGTTAGTAGTGGTTCATAGTGATAGCTGATTTTGGTAAATGATAGTTGTAATTAGTGACAACTGATAGAATACAACTGCAACAGGCTAATCATTTCATTGGCAGAAAACATTTACATTTTGTGGAGGCCGTCGTCACTTGTGGTGTGTGGTCTGCACCCGACGCTATTCTGGTTTTTTTTTGAAAAAGAGGCTATGTGAAAACACATTCCCCGCATTCAAAGTGAAGAGAGGGTACATCGACTAGAGATTTTACGCTTTATATCATCTGCGGAAATTTCTAGGTTGCCCTGTTCGTGATAATCGAGTGCATCTTTTTTGTGTACTGGGAATTTGTCGAGAAAACACATCTGATCACCACGGCGTCTGCACTGCTGACATCTTCGATTATAAAATTGGTATTTTATGACTCTATAATATTTCCTTATTTGCTTATCAACAAGTGAGCTTTACAGACTATTTTTTACCATTTATAGAAGCATTTCGGCAAGTCCTATAAGACCTGAAACGAAAGGATTTTGAGTTCGAAGTTCTCTGAGGTTTCATGTCTTGCCGACAATTCTGAGTTCTGTTATTCCAGGCGTGTCCAAGGGCGTATACTGGACATCATCGGATGCAGATCAATGAAAGATCG